GAAAATTGGCTGGCTGTTAAGATGTGTACACGATGAAGTTTGGTAATATGTAAATGCATGTAGTACACTTAACCTACTTGGAAACATTTGAATTGCAAATAGTGAGCTTTCGATTGATTTTGGCTTTCAATCTTCTCGAGCTTATCTTCTTTTTAGAGTTTAAGCTGTCTCCTTAGTAATTAACAGATACAGTTTCTTCCCCTACGTGCATATTCTTTCTTTGGTTTCTGGGATATTTATGGAAAGCGACTTTTCACTGCATTTGAGATGCAAATGCCTGACAGTGCGGCGGTGGATGCGACAGGCGAGCTAGATGCGTCGACCTAGACGCGATCCGGCGGCCGACGCGGAATTCCCTCTTGGCACGCGCTTCTCCGGCTACCCGCGGAACCCTCGCTGCCACGTTTGTTAACCCCGATACGCATTTCTACGGAACGCTGCAACTCGAGCTCGGAATCGAGAGGGTCTCGGGCGATAGACGAAAATCTCAAGAGCCGAACGCAGTGTCCGTCAACGATGCTCGTCGAAAGTCTGCGGTTGGAGTCGCAACAATGAACTAACGAGGAAACGTTCACTTCGACGGGGTGGAAGCCCTCAAAGTTGAAGGTGAAAGTATTTTCCACGATATCTCTGAAACTACGGAGTATTAGAAGAAATCTAAATTGCTCACTTCGAGGCGAGCAATTTCGCAGAGGAATTCCTTTTTTACGCCCCCTGGTCTCCGAGATATTGGAGGAGATATACTTTCAACCCTGAACTTTGAGGTGTCCTCGCCACTTCAAAGTGGATGTCGGCTAAGAAAAAGTACGTGTGAAATATGCTCTTGAGAACTATGTTTCACGGAAATTCCATCAAAACCGGTATGTGCCGGTCGGAGAGGTTCCCCTGGCAATCCGGGGGAGAGTCCCCTCTCCTTCCGACGGTGGCGTTCAGTTTAGTAATTTACGTACACACTCTTTCCTCGATATATCGGTTGACGGAGCTCGGAGACAACGATAATCCTTCTCCGGCTTTAGCGGCTTTCAGCGGCTCAGCTCTATAAACGTAGCCTCGCGTCGATGCACGGCCTGGCCGATCCGCGATTTCGCGTTCGTTGCACCTGTGCGCCTCCGCGCAACGCCATTATCCCCCTTCTATCTTCGTTCACCATCTATTTTCTTCGTCCCCTTCGATTATTCCCGTTGGACGACCGAGTCTCGTCGACGCCCCGCGCGTAGCGACTTAAATTTCGGCTGCTTCACCAGAAATTAACCCCTTCGACAGTTCGCACGTGTCAGCCCATCGATACGTGAAATATTCAAATGAAACAGCTCCGCGCTTCGATTCGCGCGATTCCTCTTCGGGCGAGTTTCAGGAAGTACCGTATCTCATCGGAGAATGTTTCCATTGGAAAACCTTCAGGCGCGCTCGTGTTTCATCGTTTAGAGCCCATATCGACGTGCAGCGATTGTTTTGGAGCAACAGGGAAAGTTCCTGTCTCGCGAAAATGGCTGAGAGAATATTACGTCTTAGCTGTTCGATTTCGGGGGAACAAAGACGCAAGGTTCTCTTATCGTTCCTTCGTGACACAGAACTTTCCGACATAATATTCCGTCGTTTTCGCGGGACAGAACTTTCTCCGTCGCTCCGAAGAATCGCTGCGGTATCGCGGTGCAATCGCGTCGCTCGTGTGCATAGGCCCTTAATCCGTCGACGGAGGCAACGGCAGCGGCGAGAACCAGCAGGGAAACGCGTCGGGATTAGTATATCGACCAATGTCAGCCATTGACCGACGCGACGCCTCCGTATCCGCGCACAGATAATAAAGCCGCGCGTGTACTGGAACGTGCACCGCATGCATTATGCATGCATACGGGCTAGTCCTGCGCCCGCGCTCGCGCGGGGAACGAGGCGATCGACGTTCGCCGTTTATCGTCCTGTTTTTCCGTCGGGCTCGCTGTTCCGGACGAACTCCGCGGAATTCGCCGCAGGCATCCCCGAAACGTACGAAATAATTCCCGCGGGCGGCCCTTCCTGAAATAATTGAGCGCGGGAAGTTACGTCGCGAATTTGATACGCGGAACTTCGCAGGCGGTGAGCGAGCGAGCGGTTCGCCCGACGAATTTCCTAATTAAAACTTGAGCGAACGGGCCGCGCCGCAAAAAGCTCCCGCGGACGTGTTTCGAATTGCACGCGGGATTGCGGATAAACCGCTGGAAAGGGACGATCGCGTTTCGCTGAACGTTCGCCGAGCGGACTTTCGCCGCGGTTACGAGCCTCGGGACGTTCCCTTCTTCCGTTACTCGCGTCACCTTAATCTTCTTTTATTCCGCGGTTCTCCCCGCGATTCGTTCTTCCCCGCTTTCTCTTCGAAGCGTCTCGTCGCTCCCAGTGGCGCGTGTAACGCGCTTCGAGGTTATCGGGACGATTAATTTCGACGTTGCTTTCTCGAACGTGGCGGATTGTTGAGATTGTGATTAAAACGAGTCGGAACACGATGCAGGTAGGACTGGTTTGGTCGATTTTGAGGAAACGAACCTTTTAATTGCATCGAGGTGAAACTAGTGCGATTCGCACCGTGTTTCGACTCGTTTCAGTCGTACCGATCTCAACAACTCACTTATCGTCCTGAAGTCTCACTCTTTCATTCCCGTTATCTTTCTCCACAGAGAACAAACAATCGCAGTTCCAATTTTCGGCTACTAATCGGTAGAAGACGAACAATCGCCTCTGGCCACGTGATCCCAGAGGAGCCGAGAAACAATGGAGCCGGCGGCGGGCGCGTAACAGGTTTTCTGAAATACGGGACTATTTATCGGGTGGCACGCGCTCGCGGACTGAATACCAATTCCGTCCCTTAACGCGATCGCGATTATTTATCGCGCGACGCGCCATGAGCCCCACTCTCCGCGATATATTATTCAAACGGGCGCCGCGTCGAATTCCAATGCACCGGGGAACGCGAGTCCGCGTTTAGGAGGACCGTTGCACGACCCGGCCCGGCTCGATCCCTGAAATCGGCCCGGGTTAACGAGATATCGCCGCCCGCTACTCGAGGCCGTCGACGAGAGTACTTCTGGAAATTGATTTCGGGCTCCAACAGGTGCGATTATCGCGCGTACACTCGCTCCGAGCCGCGGAAACTTCGGATCCGCCGAAAATCCTGGCAAGTCACCGATTTCTCCGTTCTCTCGATTTTTCGCGGCACCGTTCCGTTCCGCGCTTAATTCGATTTCATTCACGCGTATCCACGGTCCGTGCGCCGACGAAATGGCTGGGACAACGCTCCCGGCAAAACGTTTCTAATTGAACGAATCGCGATCAATGATCTCCGAATGGAACGAATTCGGCGAAGTAATTAAGACATCAAAGTAATCTCAGCACGCGAGAGTAAACCAAGCCAAACTTCCGGTAGCAGCTTTGAGAACGCGTCAACGTGTGTTTCTAAGGAAGAGCATCGAAACCGTCGGAACACTGAATTCAACTGAATTAAACTAATCTAGAATATTCACGTGTCTAAGATACACGACTAACGGAAGATGCAATCGTTGAATTATAATTCGCTCCGTCAGATCGTGCGATAATATCAATGATCGCTCGTCCTCGTGAAGCGAGAGATCGTTAGAAGCGAGATAAGAAGAGCAGAAGGAAGTTTACGCGAGTCTTTGACCCACGTTCCCGAGCAACGGATCGAAAGAACGGATACGAACGGTCTCCGCCGCGTCGGGAGAGTACCCTTTGAGATGATTCGCCGGAGAATCGGGCGGAACGCGACACGGATATCTTGGAAATTCCGCCGGAAGATCAATTAGTCTCGGGAGACGGACGCGGGATGAATCGTAAATTTCGAGCGCCCCGAATCCGGCGACCGCTGCGACGTTTTCTTTCCCCCGGCGGTGTCTCCTCGCGATACCCTTTATCTACTTCAGGACGCTGTCCGGATTAACCTCGTCCGCTCGGGGATACGTGACATCAACGTTATATAAATAAACGGGATTTATCTGCGCAACATTATTTGTTAAATGAATTAACTTTCAGTGTTCGTCGGACAATCGGAGTTTAGGGTTTCGCCATCCCTGTGCTTGACTCACCACCCCTACCACCGCTTGTAACTCATAAGCATGAACCTCGAGCCCTAAATAAACCGGTGTCTATTCAGCAGGAACGCCATCTTTATTTTTCCATTCTCAAGAAAAAATACTTCACGCGGCGCGTGTTAACGCACCACCATAAATGTTTCAATTGCATCAAAATAAAAATGATTCGGAACGTATAAAAACTCATGAAATGTACCTTCCCCTTTTTTCGTGATATACAAATTACACAAGAGTGACGCGCAATATGCGCTTATGATGCAAATGGGTTAACACATTGCGCGCCGGCCCGCGGTAATGAGGGATCGTTAGTCTATCGTTTAATTGCCCCAAAGTAAAAGTACAAAGAGTTCCTTATTCTTTCTCGTAAGTCAGAAATGTCGGTTTGATCGACGTTTGAAAATGTAAGCGTACGATGTGTTAACACATTGCGTACTGGCAACGAGAAATCTCGTTTCATATAAAGACACTTAGCTATGCAATTTTGCTAATTACTATAGTGCTTAGAAAAATATCAAACTCGATTCAAATTGATTATTTATTTAAAATACATTACATAACGATATATCTGAGTTTTTGTATATATAGCCAATATAAGTTGATCTCTCTGAAAATTTCCATCCGAACAATTCAGTTTCCTGAAAAGTGGCCGGTACGCAATGTGAGAAGTTGAAGCGAGGTGACGTGTGCAGAAGTCCCGTCGCACGAAGACGAACAGCGGAAATATGTACCACGGACGTTTCGCGCGTGGACGGTTCCCCTTCGCCCTGGCAGCCCTTAGTTTCGCGTAGAGATCACGTACGAAACGGAACGATCTCTTATTTCGGGCGGAAACGGGCCGGGGATCGCCCCGTCGCCCCTCGCAACGGGAACCCGCTGCGGGATAGGTCCCCCAACACCTTATCGAGGAAGAAATAGAACCGAAGGCGATAGAATTGGTATTTATAGAGCGGGGTTTCGCCGTTTGCGCCGGTGTAATCTTCCCGAGATCATCGCGACGCCGGAATTTCAATGCTCGTCGAAGTCGACGCTCGAGCGTCGAGGCGAGTCCTCGGGAGCCGTAGATTTCGCACGATTTAATGGTAAATATCCTACTCGGATACCTGTGAAATCGAAAGTTTCCATGGGAATCGGCACGGAATCCCCTCGAAAATTCTATCGAACCCCCTTCGCTGCTGTCGGAGGCTAAAGGCACCTTAGACATTCGGTTTCGGTGTACCGTTGACGCTCATAGGCCATAAAGTGTTATCGGCAGTAACATTTCGATCGATCTAATTCAACAATTACACCTTCCGTTAGCCGTACATTCTATAAACCTGATTCTATATTCGTTTAACACTAGGTTTACGGGCGTTTATCGTACACTTCATTCTATTATTCCTAAAAGAACTGATGCTCGTTTATTTAGATTGTGGAAACTGGAAATTTGAAAATCTAATAAATAAAACTAAAATCCAATATGCGTCAATTTGACGCGTTCCGTAAACCTAGTGTTAATCTAGTTGAACTCGCTGTGTCGATAGTATCAATACACTTTCTCACGAACACGCGTTGACGCAAAACCCTGCGATAGCTAAGGAGTTCACAGACCCGAGCCGATTTCCTAAGGAAAACGTCCTCGCGATTGCACCTTGACGCGGCCGATAATTGCGAAGGAGTGTACGGAGCGTAACGCGATTAACCCCGACGAAATCAGCGGTTTAATTAAGTGTACGCGGTGGCCGCACGGTTCGCCGTAATCGTCGGGTCCAACGGCGCGCTGCGATTCGCCGAGGGCCCCGAGCTTCGTCGGGGTCTTCGAGTCGCCACGTCGTTCCCGGCGAAAGCGCGATAATTCGCGGGAACGCGGAACGGGGAGGAGCGGCAGGGAGACGCCGCGATAAAATGTTTCTCGCTGCATATGCATGCGTTACGCTACCAGTCCGGGAAAATCAATGCGCTGGGGGACGCGAGCGGTGCGCCGCGGTGCCGTGCCGGTTTTTTCACCGGCGCGACGCGAATGGAAAACACTATCGCCTCGCTGCGACCACTGGAACCGTCGAAATCGCTTTCATTGTCCTCGCTGTTGGAGGTGATGTAGACATTTTGTGGAAACGGGGAAAAAAGAAACATAGTGCGCGTACGTTGAGGCTGCAACGCAAGGACAGGTGATTTGCAGAGGTGACCGTTGCAGCCTTAACACTTAGACCACCTAAAAAGAACTATAACTACGACCTCCTTCGTTATCTTCAATTCAACTCATTCAATTAATTCGGTTAGAAACTGTGTTTTAAAAACAAGAACTTCAAGACTTACTAAATAACGAAAGAAAAGATAAACAGAATAAAGGCAATATGTTGCTAAGTGAAAAATGGGAGATCTCATTCGGTTGGCTAATTATTAAGATGTGGAGGAAAGGGCCCTTTTCCGAGTCGCCATTTTGTCGCCTTCGTGAATGGACGTTGATATTAAACGTAACACTGATAACAATGTTACTCTTATAACATTGATATTAATGTTTCTTCGCAAGATACGTAATAGCCTAGACGTCTAGAGTATCGCAAGCGCCAGTTTCCTGGACGCCTCCAGGCGGCAACGGTAGTCAAAGGGTTAAAACAGCGCTCGAGCGTCTGCGAGTCTCAATGAATTGAATGCGTAGTGTAACGTTAAGTAATCTCTAAGTCTGTGACCAGGCTTGCCTTTCGTCGCGCTACAGTAAAGGCGCTTTCTGGAGATGATGCCAGAGAAATCAAGGTAGCGATACGCGAGCCGAAATTCACCATCGAGATGTCTCGGTGAATACACGGTTCCACGGTTTCCACGCGGAAATTGGAAAACGTCGATTGCGAAGACGGATTTCTCGAGCAGTTAAATTACTCTCCGAACGTCGAGAAGTATGAGAAGAGGATGACGTCCGCCGTTCGAGAAGAATGTTCGCTTCCGTCGGCGAAGATCCTTTTTACGTCGAGCGATCGCCAACTTTCTCGAGCGCGAGGTTCGTTCGCTGTTAACGCCAGATTTACGGCCGTTTCTTCTACGCTCGATTCCATTGTTCCTAGGAGACTACGTGTTCGTCTGCATAAATCGCGGAGATTTCAGCTTCGAAACCAGCGCATCGCGTATTCGCGTAACCGAGATCGACTTAAACCGTTACGATGCTTAAGACATTCGATATCCGAGAAATCGACGGGTCCCGCGAATCGAGCGTTAATATCGCTGCTAAATTTCAGAAAGAACGGTTCGTTGTTTGATTCATGAGCCAACATGATTCGCGGAAGAATGGATATTCCCCCGCTCGTGTTTACCAAGGCGCGCGCTGAGGCCGCCTCCCGCGAAACGCATGAAAATGGAAAACGCTGGAAGCGAGGAGATCGCCGGGGCAATTGTTTGTTTAGTTATTTATTCGTTTGCCGGAGGATTCTATTTTTCAACCGTAATGCAACGTCCGGAGCGCAGAACGGCGCGGGCCCGTAAACACGCAAGAGATGGGTACCGGCAAAGGCGCGGAATAGATCCGCCGGCGAAACGGAAACGAAGATTAAGATCGAGGAAGGAACGAACGGAAGGAGGAGCTCCTGTTTAACCAGTTAACTGTGGAATTTAGTTGGAGAAACCTCTGGTTCCGCGCAATAAAATCGAAAAATGGAGATTGTACTCGTCGAACGCAGGACGAATGCGCGTAGAGTATATTTTAAAGATCAAAGCGAAGCAAAGAATTACATGTTTACGTGAACAAATAAAGAATCCATCGCTGAAAGAATTAGCATCGTGTCAAGCTTCACGATGACGTGTATACTCGTCGAACACAGTTGACTATTTAATAGCTAAATGGAAGTATACCAAACAAATTCAGAGACTCGGCAGGATCTCGCGCCGCGGACGTTGTCTTTATCGTACACGTGTACGCTAATGTTGTTCATCAATCATTTCGCACGGAATGATAGATATCAAAGCAATCTGGAATATGTGTTCGACGCGTGTCGTGTCGTCGGCAATTTCCGAAGAAAGACTTCGTAACGTGCGTAGCACGTCTTCCCAGCGCAAGTGGTCGAACGAGTGATTCTCACGCTTTCGTTCGCGCGGTGAAACACGCGATCAAGAGAAACCGTCGAGCGACGCGTCGTCGATCATCGGCGCGTTTTCCCTTCGGAGATTAACGAGACACGCGTCCCGTCGAGGCGACAAGTTTCGATTTCTTCCGACGATTATTCATAGATTCACGCGTTCCCCGAACGCGGCTATAAATCTGCGCCAGTGAATGTAGTTTTGTGAAGTAGGTTTCGGTGATGGGAAGAAAGCGAACCGGAGAAAATTGGAAATTGCTCGCCGAGTGATTTCCGTGCTGGCTCGTCAACGATCATCGTATGGAACCGACGTCGAACGAACGGTCAAAGCATCCGTTATCACCAATCGAACGCGAAGGTGACCGCGAGATCTGTGTCCCGATTACCGAAAGATCAATCGGTAATTAGAAAACCGAATTCGGTTGGTTTTTATAATAGAATGACGAATCAGTTTCGATGTAACTAATACGTAAACACGTCTGCTCCCATTAAGATTGCGTTCTTTTTAATTGTCATATCCAGTCGACTCCATAGGTGGCTGTCACTAGCAATCCTATTTCTAATAGCTTCTCAGAACTGTATCGAGATGACGCGAGAGAATCGCAGGAGACACGCGTGAATCCAAGCGCAAACACCTGTTTCCCTAGGCGAACGGAAACGGAAAAGGTCGCGTGCCGGCGACACGGCCCCGGGCGTCTCGTTAACATATGATAATCAGAGGAGAAACCGAACTTCTAGAAACGACGGGTGTCCGACTATTCATAGATATTTCCCCTGACGGGCTGCGTCTCGATATTTTTACGTATCTTCGAGGCGGGACAGGACACGGCTTGACAGACAACGCGTTCAGGCGGAAGTAAAGAGCCTGTAAACCCGACGTCGTCTTGGTCCGTCTGTGGTATCGATTCTCCGTGAATACGAATCTCCAGAGTATTCCTGGGTGTATCTGCAGCTTTGCCGTGAAATATCGGGAAAATAACCAGAGAAAATAGAAGTATCCGCGCGGAACGCGGGCATTCCGCACGTACCTCGGAGTCGGGAACCTCTGACCCTGTTTTTCGGGGCGAAGGGAGGCCTCTTTATCGCAAATTGCTAAAGGAATTCGTGCGTTCGAGCGAACGCGACGACGAAAGTCCCTTCGAGTCCAGACGAACCTATTCTTTCGATTCTGCACGTGAAATTACAGGTTCTACCGTCGTATTCTAATAATTCCCCTCTCTATCCGAGGGAAGATGAAGATAAGACCCGAACGCGGGGAGCAATTAACACATTGCGTACCGGGTAATCTTCAGAAAACTGTAACGATGGCAATTTTCAGTGAAATCAATTTATATCATTATATCTATATATGAACAATTCAGGTGTCATATTATGTAATATATTTTAGATAATCAATTTGAATCAAATTGAACGTTTATCTAATGCTGTGATAATTAGCGAAGTTACATAGCTAAATGTCTTTACAGAAAAACGAGATTTCTCGTTGCCAGTACGCAATGTGTTAACACTAGATTTACGGACGCTTATTCTACACTGTATTCTATTGGTTCTAAAACTACGCGTTTGTTTATACAAATAGCGAGAATTGCAGCTTCAAAGTTGGAGTATTACAGTGGCGTCGAATAATTGCACGAACAAAGTCGACCGAAACTGAATGTTGGAAACATTCCGTGAAATTGGCGGGTTCCGTAAATCTAGTGTTAAATTTCTGCAACTGGCGATGCGAGCAACGATAAATACATTATATGCGCAACGTTTAGGGACGCACCGATACGTCCGATTACTCGCAGAGCGTCTCGAAAGGAGACAGCGGACGCGTCGAACGAACGCGCCGCGACACGTACTGATATGATGCTTTCGTGTGTTCGCAGAATAATGTGACAGAAGGGGAAGAAGATCTGCCTGAAGACGCTTTCTCGCTGTTGTCGGTGCTTCTAGTTGGTTCGCTAAACCTCCCATTTGATCGATCGCGACTCGCCCCTCGAAGACAACCCTACGGGAGGCCTCTCGCGCCTCTCGGAAACTTTCCTCCGACCCCGTCCAATCTGCTCTTCCCTCCGTATTTCTATTCCGTCGGCCGTTCTACGCACTTTTGAACTCGTCGCCTTACCCCGTCGCGTCCCTGATATATCCTGTTGTCTATTCAATTTTACGCGCCTACCGAAAGCCTCGGAAGCTTTAGAGTCCATTGATAAATTCCGCGCTCGGCTAGGCAAACTTGCTATGCGTGTCTCACTCGAATAGTTAACCACGTTAACACTTCACACTCGGGGGACGACTTACAGCCGCCATTTGGTTTGATAGAGCAACATTACGAAGTTTGACGTGCAATATTAACCCTTTGAACTCTATAGACTCCAATATTCCACCAGGAATATTAGATATTTCAATGAATCCTAAAGAAACTATCCTACAATAATTAGATTTCGTCAAAATTTTGCACTAAGGAAAATAAAAGATCTAAGAAATGTTATAGCTATCATTTTCGCTAGGGATGCTATAAAAATTATTTGCTGACAGATTACGAAACCATCTGGAGTGCTAAGGGTTGAAGTTCAGTAGATCAATAGAATAGTTCTATCCCTTGATTTATTATTTATATTAACGTCAGCTATGAAACCTATCATTGATATTTCATCAGGAAACGAAGAATGTATCTAGCGAAGCAATTTTCGAGCGCAAACGGTTAATCTCTGTACATCCCGCGAACTCCCTATGAGAACGTCGACTCGTGTTTCCGCGTCTCCATGGATCCCGTGGATCCTCGTGGACAGGCTCTTCGAGGGGCGAACGAGCCATTCGCGCGAAGAGTTCGTATCGATTCTACCCGAGCTGGTTCCGCGCGCATCTTTCAGGTCTCCTCTTCCTGATATTGATATTTTTATCCGTCGCGGGCAACATCCTCGTCTGCGTGGCGATTTACACGGACCGCGGGCTACGGAGGATAGGGAACCTGTTCCTGGCCTCCCTCGCGATCGCCGATCTCTTCGTCGGCTGCCTGGTGATGACCTTCGCCGGGGTCAATGATCTGCTCGGCTACTGGATGTTCGGCCCGCGGTTCTGCGACACTTGGATCGCGTTCGACGTCATGTGCAGCACTGCCTCCATTTTGAATCTATGCGCGATATCCCTCGACCGTTACATTCATATCAAGGACCCTCTCAGGTAAGCAGCGGGTGCCGAGTCGAAACGAATGAAACGCGAATGAAACGCGAATGAAAGCCGAGGCTACCGATTTTCTCACGCGCAGATACGGTCGCTGGGTGACGAGGCGAGTGGCGGTCGCCGGGATCGTGATCGTGTGGCTGCTCGCGGCGCTCATATCCTTTGTACCGATTAGCCTAGGCCTTCACCGGGCAGACGAAGAAACACCCATAGTTAACGAGGACGGCCAAGAGGTACGCGTCGCAGCCCCGAACCTTTAACCCTTAACCCTTTTAGTGCCGGACGACGATATATCGTCGTTCGCAACACTCGTGAAAAGTGCCAGCGACGATGTGTCGTTGAACTCTCTCTCAAAATGAATTTATAAAACGTTATAAATGGTTTAATTTCATTGCAAGAGAACGTTGCTTTCTGAATTATGTAAATATCATTTTTAGTTTGGTTCTTATGAGCTTTTTCCCAAACCTTAGTAAATTCGTCCGGTTATCTTCGCACAGGCACCCGTTTTTCCCCGGCACTAAAAGGGTTAACCAGTTAAGTGTGGAACTTGCTTCGAAAAATCTCTCACTGTGCGCGCAATAACATCAAATAATGAAGCATATACTCGTTGAATGCAAAAACGAAAAACTAAAGGGAAACGAAGAAGAATTACATGTTTGTCTCGAAAAATAAATGATCCATCGTTGAAAAAGTTGGCAGCATTAAGAGTTTTAAGACGAGATTTCAACTTTACTTAGATATATCACACAGAAACGAGTTCAAGAAGTGACCTAACACGATACTCGGTTCATTGTAAATGTTACAACAATACCGGTGACGAGAATAATAGAATAATCAAATACAATACGGCGGCATTGCTCCGTTAACGGTTAAAAATGACGACCAACGGGACGAGACACGAGTTCGCGTCCACTCCTCCGCCTGTTTGTCTTTCAGGAACACCCTATGTGCGCCTTAGACCTCACACCCACCTATGCGGTCGTCTCCTCTTCCATATCTTTTTACGTGCCCTGCATCGTGATGCTGGGAATTTATTGCAGGTAAGGAGCGAGAAAATTGCCGCCTCCCCGTAAGAGACCGCGGAACGATCGGCGAACGATTCTAACCGTAATGCTTCCCGCGCGATTCCCATTGCAGGCTCTATTGTTACGCGCAGAAACACGTCAAGAGCATCCGGGCGGTGACGAAGCTGCCGGACACATCAATGGCCAAGAGCTTTCGCGGGAAAAGCGCTCGCAACAAGCCGCCGAAGCCGCAGACGAAAACGAAGCCGACGAGCCCTTACCACGTGTCCGATCACAAGGCCGCCATCACCGTGGGCGTCATCATGGGCGTATTCTTGATATGCTGGGTACCCTTTTTCTGCGTCAACATCGTCGCCGCGTATTGCAAGACCTGCATATCAGTCCGGGCGTTCCAAGTACGACATCCTAACTTTCCACCGATAAATCTCTTTCCCTTCCATCGCTGACGAATCTTATTCGCTATCAACGGCCGCAGCGTTCCCCAAACTCTCCGTCGGTTTGGGTAACGCCGCGCCAACGCGAGGAAAAGTGTATCACTGAAACTACCGAGCACTTCGATTGACTTTTGAAAATTTCGCTATAGAAACTCCAAGAGTGCGTCTGTTGAGACTTTAATTGATTTACAATTCAATTCGCGTGCTGCTAAATGAATTTCTTTAATAATTTCTCGGAGAAACATTTGTTATCTTTCTAACGATTGCAAAAAGAAGTCATCAGGCACGGGTCGTTTGAGCCCTCCGGTAGTTCAGTGATATGTACATATGAATCTGCAAACAGGTACTCACTTGGCTCGGCTACAGCAACTCGGCCTTCAACCCGATCATCTACAGCATATTCAATACAGAGTTTCGGGAAGCTTTCAAGAGGATCCTGACGAAGGGTACACGGGCCCGGGGGAACCAGCCGTCGACCAGCGAGTGCGGCGAGTTCCGATCCGTGGTGGTGCAGAAACGGAACGGGTCCATGATCGAGTGCAACATCAGTCCGAGATCGAGCGCGGACAGTTGTCAGGTCGGGATCATGGCGCAGAGGCATCGCGACACCATCGTCAGCGCGATATAATTACGGCTTGACTTTCTCTTCCGGATCAACGGATCTTCCTATCGGACGCTGGTCGCGCTCCTTCGACGACGGAACGCACACATACTCGTACTCGTACTCATACACACACACGACAGTCAAACACGATGAACAGACATATCCTGCATTGCGAGTTGGCGTTTGGGAAGGATCGGAATCTGGATGGATGCGCTCTTGGAGTTTCTAGAAAAGAATTTCGACAAGTTCAGTTCACTGGTCAGTAGCGGTCACCTTTCGGCTACTGTCCGCCACTACAGTGGCTACCGTGGGCATCGTGTTCCCAAACGGTACGCCACTGAATTGGCTCGCTCTGTTTACAGACACGTTCAACGTATCGCCCGACTGCCCTCGTGCTTTTCGTTTCACATTTGTTTCGCGTAAACATTTCCCTAATATTTCTAATAGTAAGAAGCGTCTTGTACGGTTTCACGCGGTCCACGTTGAAGCTTACAGAGATAGTGTTGCGGAGAATCCCGCAGTGGCTGAAAGGTTAACACGTTGAATGCCATGGGGTCACCGGTAACCCTCAACCAAATCGATGATCATTTGGAGACATTTCTATATTACAAATAATGCTACCTAATACGGTAACATTCAGCTAGATCACCGTGCAATAATAATGCGGTCCAATCAAATCATTTAATATTATATTTTCGTCATTTTGTGTATTTTACACATTTGGCATTCAACGTGTTAACACTGGAACTACCGAATCAGTCAAAATTACCCATTCCTTGATATTTTCTTTTGCAATTACCGAAGAGGGAATGTCTTCGAGAAATTACTAAAGAAACTAATCAATACCTAATTTAATTCAAACCAAATCTGAACACTCAGTCGACTTAAAAAGAACTACAACTACAACCCCCTTTATCTTAGTATTTCATGAATTACAAATAATCCCACTTCAAGACTCGCTAAATAACAAAAGAAAAGATGAACAGAATAAAAAGCTGTACTAAATGAAAAATGGGAGACCTCCCCATTCGGTTGGCTGAGTGTTAAGAAATCCGGTGTAGCTTTTACAATGAAGTTCTCCAAAGTTAGTTCTAATGTCGAACAGTAAACGTACAGCGAAAGACCCGTTCTACGCCGATCCTCCAGCAACGCAGAGTAAACACATGCTCACTAGTCTCTCGCTCCTCCGAAATCTCGCGGTCAACTAGAAGAATTAATTCTCGACGATGCTCACCGGCGTCCCTTTGTCCCCTCTACAGGTCGCACCGCGTTCCTCCGAACGTAAATATTGTACCGTGGAACGTAGAAGCGATGCTAGGGCATTCCGATCATGGACACGCGCACGCACCAAACTGAAACATTTACTGTCGAACGAAATAAGACACCGAGAGAGACGAGCAACAATGGTGCTCGTAAACCGTTGACTTGTTAACCGGACCGTCTGTCTTCTGGCCGTCGATTATTATCGACTCGTCCCGCGATACACGCGAATTCGAGAATCCGATTAGCACACCGGCGGACACGTTCGCTGGTAATAGGTTTACATATCTTTCCCGGGGAGAATGAAATGTTCGTTCCTCCGGTTAACAGGTCTGGGTTAGGTTAGGCCCGTAGTCGACTGACCGAGCACTACTTAGGGAAGGTCTCGAATGCTAACGTTCACCGGAGATTTCCTGTAATTCGTCGAAATGCAGAGAACACTGTCGAACTTTTTCGCTGCGGATACTTCGAGCGCAATAACCGCGTCGGGCAGCAATAATTCTTATTGTACGTTACGCAGTTTTTACTCGCCACGCAGGGGTCCAGTAGGGAGGATGATAATCGGCGGGGAATCGTAATCGATTCTCTTGGAAGACAGAGTCGTTCCTTTCTTTCGAGCACACGTACACGGCCCGTGAACGCGGAGTAATTAACGGTATCGTCGCAAGTATCCTTGGAACTCATTTGATCTAAGAATCGACCGAAAGCAATAGCAGTCTGCAGATCGGCGGGAAAAGTTCGACTCGTTGCCGCGCGCATCTCTTCGTTTCGGCGGTAAAAACGAATCGATGTATCGATCTTTTTTCGCGCGGCAATTTTTCCACCGGAAATTCAACCCGACGACACCAGATGGCGGATTATGAAATAGAGAACGGAGGTGAGAAGGGAAGGAAAGAAGATGGAGACAATGAAAGACAATCACCAAAAGGTAGTTCAAAACATATCCACGAGACATAATCCACCCACGGTAAAAAAAAAGAAGAAGAAGAAGAAGATGAAGGAACAAAAGAGGAGAGAAGGTAGTAAAGATAAATAAATGGATATAAGCGCGAACTGTCTAGAAATCGAAGAGGAGAGAGCATCCCGTTTAAATTCGCTAAGAAAATGGAAAATTCGTTCGTAGAGGAATTCGGCTGTAGTAGTTAGAAGCATACGTTCTCGTAAAGCAATTGTAATTACAGAATCATGTTGATATAGAGCATCTACGACCGTAAAAGCTGGATGTTACGCGAAGCACTAAATAGTGACGTCTGTCGAATCGTAGCTTATTAGTGTTAGGATCGCGGTGGAATCCGCACAGATTCATTTTCCATCTTGTAAATAGTCATTTATTTATTTTTCTATATTTGACGGGGAGAACGACACCGAGACGAGAGATAGATCCGCGTATCTGATGCGTATCAAGGCGACGCTTCGTTTAGGTGCTAAACGCGTCGCGATATCGTCGCGATATCGTCGTCGCGCGAACCCGTCGAATCTAATTCGAATCTGCGTCTGGTAATATCCGAACGAAGAATATCCTCGCGGAACGCAACATCGGCGCGCTCGCAGTGTTTTCGTCGAGCCTCTTCCATGCATCTATATCAGCGACGCAAAGTGCAACTGCATTCCGACAAAAGAGAACACGGTTGTATCCGTAGTGGATTAAGAAGGATTTAATGGAAAAGAAATACGAAAGAGAATCATGAACCGGAGCAAGCCTCATTTATCGGAGTGACAGGTGGCGCAATGTTGATGTATACTGATGATACATTTGAATGACCGTTCTCTGTAAATATATTAGCGTAAGGACTTCCAAGCGAGTGTTACATTTGGAACGTTTTATTACTACCTTATTATCCTGCACCGATCTATTATCCATTTAGCGATAACAATCCACACTCGGTATATTACAGGTCTGTACGTAATCTCTGGAAAAAGTGTAGATTCGGTTCTATTACACGTGTCATCCTTCCATCGAAAGAATCTGTTATATGAAACGGTTTCGTGTTTTCCCAAGTACGTTTCTCTAACGGAACTTGAAATACGTCTAAAAGTTTGTTGGTCAGTCTTGGTATGATCGGATGTAATATTAAACTAGCGACGCGCATGCTTTCAATGGTCAGAAACGAGACAGCTTCGAATTCCATGATCTTGGAAGGAGATCGACGTAACGTCCACGGCTGATGATGACTGAACATCGCATTTGTAGCCCTCAACATATTCATTACACTGTCAACCACATTGCGGTATTGACCTTCCTCGTAAAATCGTTTAGTTTCGTCGCTAAGTTCTTCCAACAGTTTTATATTCTCGATAGCTTCGTCGGACGTTAAGAAACTTTTATAGTTTACTTTATTAGATATTATTCTCTGTGGATTGACACCTCGGCTCAAACATCGATTCAATAAATTCCCGAAAGTATTGGCAAGCTCGGCGTTCAGTACGAATCGAGTTTTTCGTGAACTGTAGTCTGTAAAAACGAGAACAGAAGCATCCATAACCGGGTGAAGATAAAAACACGTTTAAACACATAATAGACGGTATATTGTGCATGTACTTTGCCTTACTTGCATTTGAGTGCGGTACTGCTTCTCGCAAGAGAAAATACCTGAAACCGTCCGTCGTGAATTCATCACTAACGGTAAAGGGCGAAATTACATTTCCCGTAGATTTTGATATTTTCTTATCATCAATGGTCCAATGTCCGTGACAGAAAAGTCTCTTTGGCGGTTCAAGACCGACAGCCATTAGAAATGCTGGCCAATATATGCCGTGAAATTTTAATATATCTTTCCCGACCACCTACATTCACAAACGTTTTTATGATTTCGAAGATCAAGTTTTCAACTGTAAATGCCGAACATTAAACAACAGCATTAACAAACAGAGAAACATTTACGTGAATAGGTGGCCAAAACTGTTTAAACGAGCTGTCCGGATATCCTACCGAGGTCAAATAATTCACTAAAGCATCTAACCATACGTATATTGTATCAGACTCATTGGAAGGCGTACGAATGGCCCATGGCACTCTGTCGATAGGTCTAGAAATACTTAAGTCTTGTAGACCTTGGTCGATCCACGTAAGCAAACTCTTATGGTATATTGCCGGTTTTACTGTATTTTCTAAATACAGTTTTGTATATTAAAATAACGACTTTCTTCAATAAAAACGAATTCAGTAACTCAATTATGTTGTAAATGGATATACCGCTTTTCAGCCAGTGCTTCAAATCATCCTGGAAAGATGAAAGTCGAAATTTATAAGTTTTTTCTTCTGTCCATTCCACTCGATTCTCTGAATTCGCAGTTACACGAATAATATTTCCTACGTCATCCGTTTTCTCTATTACTTCCGATTCCGATACGAATGCTTCATCGGTTACGCTGTACCATCCAGAATATTTTCCCGAGTAAATATATCCGTTTTTATTTAGACAATTCTAAAAGTTATTCACTTTTTATATGCGCTCTCAATACGTAAACAAATCTAAAGTCAATATTCTATTAATTTAGTAACCCAAAAGTGTTGAACAGCCTCCACGTGATCGTTATCGGTAGTCCTAATGAATCGTGAATATCTAATGTTATACAGATCACACATGTCTCTGAAGTGCTTTGAAATTTTATCACAATACTTCAATGTCGGCGTGTTCTTGTCAGATGCAGCCCTTTCAACTTTAGTACCATGCTCATCTGTACCTGTGCTGAGAACTACAGAGTGTCCTAGCATAAAATAAAATCTAGCCATAGCATCTGCAAAAACTGCGCTATAAAGGTGTCCAATGTGAGGCCCTAAAGATGTAGAAAAAAAAATCAGCATCCCTTAATAAAAATACTGAAATCCACAGTTTAAACGACTAACTAGTTATTTTGTATTCACAATTGCATACCATTGTTAACGTAAAATATGGGTGCAGTAATGTATATGCTTTTAGCTGCATTATCAGAAAAATGACTTTTTGGAATGTGCGCCCATGGCATTTGAGTTTTTCCTTTAGAAAATGGGAATGTCCATAAGGATTGGGCATGACATGTGTTTGATTGATGAACTGAAACTAGAATTCACACATGAACTTATAATTAAAATTATTTAAAATGCTATGAATACATATCTAACGTGTTAAACTACTGGAATATAACCACAGTTTTAAATGAATAACATTTTTCACTTTCTTAATAATTTATTTTGACATGTTTATACACAAATTGATATTGTATTCATATAGAATGCAATATAATTACAACATCTATGCATAGATACTCAATTCTTTTTCAGTTCTAACTGTATCGTTTCCAACTGTGCTATGAGATCCATGTGTTTAAATTTATTGGGACTATTAGTGAATGCATCTAATAATTCTAATCTCTTTGGATTATCTGTACTATAATATAGTTGTAATTCATTTGCTAAACATTGAGCTTCTTGTACATCAATACATTTTTTATCAAATTCACCCCGCATAAGCACAATGCTTTTGCTCTCTTGAAGTTCATCATAATAGACCATAGATAAACACTCTGGTGCATTCTCCTTATGTGTCTGATACCACAAAAGTGGTGTCATATGAACTTCAGATCCATGAAACTGAATAACAATAAATTCATATCCGTGTTCTCTGGGTAATGGTAATAAAAATGTAGGATATTGTTTCCCACGTTTAAACATTTTATCAAATTGCTCAGGTGTTAATACTCCCGATATACAATCCTTGTGTTTATGATAATCCTTCCATATATTCATGATCTCTTCCTTAGATTTATCTTGAATCATATCCACTTTCATTATATCATTTAATTGCACTCTTTGTGGTTGAGAATTTTTGTCTAAGCGTGGTTTTGCTTCACTCTGATAAAACTTATATTCTTGTTCTTGTTTCACTTCAATATAATAATGCATAATCAAAAAAAAATTGAAATGCCTGAATTACGCTTAAAACTAAACCATGGTTACTTCTATTCTAAAGTTATTTATTGTTCTTCGAAACAATATACTAACACCTACACATTCAAGTACCCTTACTCTCTGTTATGATAAAATACATAAAGAAAAAATGAAATTTTTACGCAAAACAAATGTACGTAGGATAGATTGTAAGCTCAAATTTGAAAGAAAATGATAATCGACTTATGAAAATGAAATAAAGAGTATTTTAAAAATAAACGTTATTATAAATAGAAAGTATAGGTTATGTACCTTTCTTTTCTTGTAATTTCTTCTCCTGAGATTCGACTCGCTGTAAAAACTCTGCAGGACTGGTTTTCTGAAGTTTTGCTATTTTTTCGGCATACTTGTCAAAAAAAGGATTCTTCTGAAGATCTTCTAAAACTTTTTCAAATCTCCTGTGGCTCATCGCGATGAATCTTTTATTACTGACTCTCAGATTTGTTCGAACGTTTTTCCTAAATGTTGACAGCGACCATAACAACCGTTTTGTATTTCGTAGAAATATTGCCATCTATCATTTATGATTAAATAAAATATTTACTGTAATTGACCATAAAAATATCAGACAACGTTAACTCTTCGCCATGTGCAATTTAGATGTCGCTCAGAACTGTAGAAAATTGTAAACTGCCATAGACGTGTTTCCCTCACAAGGTGTACATGGTAAGTAATTTGTATTGTTTCCCATGCGAATTCGTATCTTTATCCGAAACGATAAACATTCGTACTGCGAAAAATCGTCTGAACACACACCAACGATATTTCACATTAATTTCTAATAAGTGGCACAAGGTTCCGGTATATCAGTACCGTATCTATAGAAAAGGGCAAATGGCTTAAAACACGACGGGACGTTTGACCCATATAATACATACCTTTTCAAAGCTTTCGATACGTACAACGAAAATTATACTTGTTTTCCCTCCATAATACCAACGATCCGTACGAGCGGTTAAAGTTTTCAAGTATTCGAATTTACACAGTCAGTATCTGTCAGTAACAGCATACAATGTAATCTAGATACATGAAATCCTTACGTAAATCTGTACAGTTGTAAGAATTTCGACGCAGTCGTGAAATAATTAGTTTTAGACAGCGATCTCGACGACTTCCTTTTAAATAATAACTGGAATCGAATTGAAACGGTAGATTTTATTGGTAAACGCCACCATGCGAAATATCGTTTGTTTGAGACGCATCCGAGGAAACATCGATACATCCCTGAGGAAAATCTAGTACCGCGAATCCAAGCGAGTCACTTCAATTCCAACGAAATATTGCGACAATTCTAATCCCGCGCCGCGGTGAAAGAAAATTTCTCTCAATTATTAAACCAGAAGATTTCCGGTTAACCGGATCGAATGGAAATTTCGATAAGTCGGCGGCAATCGGTGGATAAGGACTCTAATTTGAACGCGATCCGTCGTGACGCATCGTTTCCGCAACGTCAGTTGCTCTCGTGTTTCTAGCGAAAGGGAAAATGTCGGCGTGTTAGTGGGGTTTTGTTGTGCCAGCCAGAGAGTGCGACTTTTTGGCTACGGGGTTTCATATGCATATTTTTTAACGGGAAGTAGATCCACCTATCGGTACTGTTCCGAGAAGGCACAACCATTCTCGCGTTTGCCAGTAAATGGCGTATATACCCTACCAGGTACGCTCAGTACTTTAAATCAGGTTTGAGTCCGACGTGAGCCAAGTCGCAGAGGTCCGCCGTCGGTTGTAGCGGGAGGGAGGACAGAAATTGGGAAGCCAAGAGTAATATGTCGTTGCAGTTGGCGATGTCAGTAGCAAAAAATGATTTTATCGTGGGTAGCAAGTACAGGCTGGTGAGGAAGATTGGCTCAGGATCCTTCGGCGACATATACCTCGGCATCAACATCTCTAATGGCGAGGTAAGGTGTACCGTTTCGTGCGGGACGAGCTGTTCTAGCACACGTTTCCCACTTCCCGTTTCACCGTTTCTTTTTCTCTTTCCCGAAACTATCATTTCAACGGGTACGCCGTTCATGTGTACAACACGAACAAAGCTTTTTCTATTATTCTTGCTAAACTTTCTCCGAAATATGTTTTCCACGATATTATCTTTTCGCTTGTAAAAATCATTTCGCTGTCTTTTCCGCCGTTTCAAAAATCCACAACACACTGGGAATTTATGTTCCACGATCAAATTCCGTGTATTCAATCATCCCCTTTGTTTAAATCCATTTATCAAATTTTACGCGATACTGTTAACTTCTGCGTATAAAAAAGTTATTGTTTCGAACATTCTTTACGCGAGATAATCGCCGCTTAAAAATCTGTGTTTGTGGTGTTCCCATCAAAATATTTATTCTGATCATTGTATAGTGACTGAAATTTATGTTTGTATTGTTACAACCTTTCCATTGTGTGCAACAGTCGTATACAGGCATTGCCTGCATAAAAAATGCATATGATAAAGTTCTTATTTTATATATGATTTCATAAGTTATAAATAAATTATAATAGTCTATATTAGTAATCTATAATATATTATCTACTAATAAAGAAAATTGGAATCATTAAATGTATGGAAATATGATTTTTTCATACATGCAACTGTGTCTGTAAGAAATGATATTACTAGGAAGTTGCTGTTAAGTTGGAAAACACGCGTGCTAGACATCCACAACTCTTGTATGAGTCGAAGTTGTATAAAATTTTACACGGCGGAGTAGGCATACCTCACATACGTTGGTAATTTCTACTTTTATATACTTTGTTACTTTATGTTTTATATTCAATGTGGGCAGATTTCATAAAAAACTATTGTTTCATTTGAAATGTAGGTATGGACAAGAACGGGACTATAATGTACTTGTTATGGACCTTTTGGGTCCATCTCTCGAAGACCTTTTTACGTTCTGCTCAAGGAGGTTTACAATTAAAACAGTTTTAATGTTGGCAGATCAAATGATTGGTAGGATCGAATATGTTCACTGCAAACATTTTATCCACAGAGATATTAAACCAGACAATTTTTTAATGGGTATTGGTCGTCATTGTAACAAGGTATTTTTTAAGTTACAATAGTTATCGTCCTTGTTCTGTATGTAAACGTTTACCAAAGACTAATGGTAAGAATCTGTAAAATTCCAGCTGTTTCTTATTGATTTTGGATTAGCTAAAAAATTTAGAGATAGTCGCACAAGAATGCATATAATATATCGGGAAGATAAAAATTTGACAGGAACAGCAAGGTATGCTTCGATCAATGCACACCTTGGAATAGAACAGAGTCGTCGTGATGACATGGAATCCCTTGGCTATGTGCTTATGTATTTTAATCGTGGATCTTTACCCTGGCAAGGGCTCAAAGCTGCCACGAAAAAGCAGAAATATGAGAAAATAAGTGAAAAAAAGATGTCCACGCCAGTAGAAGTTTTATGTAAAGTAAGTTTTTGTTTGTGCATTGACCATTTCATATTTTCTCGCTTAAGAATGTAATGAAACATTTATAAGTTAATCTTCCGAACTTTCCGTTCATAGGGATTCCCTGCAGAGTTCGCCATGTATTTAAACTACACTCGGGGTTTACGTTTCGAGGAAAGTCCAGATTATATGTATCTTCGCCAACTTTTCCGTATACTTTTCCGTACGTTAAATCATCAGTATGATTACACGTTCGATTGGACAATGCTAAAACAAAAGACATCACTTGCCACTACTCTCGGAGTAGCTACGGGAGGATTAGGTGTAACACCTCAGGCTGCTCAAGGGCAAGGGCAAGCCCTTGGTCAGACTCCTGCTAAGGCCAATGATCAATCAGGTGCTTATTCTTATATTAAAAATGATACGAATCACGATGCCCCAACGTATTTCCTGATAGAAGATTGTTAATTTGAAAATATCTCAGCAATTATTCATTGTAAGTCCCACTTTGTGTAACACTCTTGTACCTTCCGTTAAAAAAACCGAAGGTGACCCTAATACCTTGCTAAAAAGTAAGGTGATAAAAAGTAAGGATAAAAAACAGATTAGAGCACTGTATGTCTCCCTAGATACCATGCAACTTTTGTTTGAAACCTTTTTTTCGTACAAAGAATAACTCAGAAGTTATTGTAAGTCGTCATGTTAGGAGATTCACTCTGTATGTAAACATGCTACTATGCTGTTGCTATTTAAGGGGGTCTTGCAAACATGTAATGTTATTTTAAGCATGTTATAATACATCCTATTAATATAAAATTCATGTTCTGTTATAGGAGCACGTTAAGACTACAATCATATGTCGTTACATCAATCCTATTTGCAGTCGATAGTGTCCAAGATCAGGTACACGACGTCGTACGAAATACCATGAAAGAGTTAAATCAATCAATCCTTTAAGTTTATACGAAGAAGGAGTTTTGCGATTACTAGCGTATCGTACACAGTAAAGAACAATGCCACGGATACACGTTTCTGAATTCACTTCTGAACAGTGAAAACTTCAGTGTATTCTCAGTGCTTAGAGTTTTGGTTGATCCACCTCTTTGGGCTTAAAATCCGAGTGAGATCAGCCAGGGGTGGCTTGTTCTTATTTTGTTATTACCTATTTAATTCACCGTTGAAAATATTTGAAATAAAGATTTTGATGCCCCGAGGAACTCTGTAAGGGAGTACACATAATAGTGTTGTAACGTGTGATTTCATCGAAAATTCGACACATCATTTTCATAGAAAGAAAGAGAGCATTTCGATCAGTCTTAAATATTCGGGGTTATCAATTGAATAAACCATATGAAATTTTATATCTATTCTGCAAATAGAAAGGGAATATGTGAAAATGTGTGTGTATGTGTGTGTGTGTGTGTGGGTGTGTGAGTGACTATGTGAAACTATGCAAGAGAGTATATAAATAACTGTACTGAGAGTGATAAGTATAGTTTGTTGCTTCCCGATTTTTGTTTCAATCTCAGTACAATATAGTATATATATATATATACTAATTATATATATATACATAATGTGTGCATCTTTGAGAGAGAAATGTTAATAATGTTTTTCTTACATAAGCTACATATTTGTCAACAGTATCAAAAATCTCCTTTTGATATTATTGACTCCGATAACATTTTTTTTAATATAAATATATATAACGTACACATAGACGCATACATGCGTACATGTGAATAAGTGACAGTAACATGGAAGTAAATACTGGCGAATAATATTAAAATATGTTAATATTAAGGCAGCAATTTAACTTTTAAATACATCGTATAAATCATGGAATCGAACAAATTTCTCAGTGATTTTGTCCTGATAAATATCTCTTCTTACTCTCTTTCTTTCTGTGAGTGTATTTAGTCGATTACTATAAACAAAAATTGAATAGACTTTTTTTTGTACTGGAAATGGATTACAGAATTATTTTTTAGTCTAGAATAGCTAGAATTGCGATTGAGAACTAATTCTGTAACCAGATTCAGCCAAAGGACTTCTTCCGTATAGTTTTAATGGCAGAGACTGTGCAATGGTATTTTTCGTGCTATTGCTTCGATGTTAAGTTTATAAAGCGTGACTTAGGAAACCTTAATCGATCAGTTAATCGATTGTTAATGTGTATAAGGAGTCGTCAAATGCAAAGTCACGTAACATACACCGATTTGAAGGAGTTCATGAAGACTCGCTTCTATCATTGGAAATTTTCGTTCACATTAACCATACTAGTTACGTCAATATTCACAATCAACTCATTCATTGTATAATCAATCATTATTAAGTTATCTTGTCCTTTTTCTGTGGAAACATTCTAAAGAAAACGTCCGGTCATCTTTAGTGAAATTTGATACAAAGATGAGCATGACTGGATTTTATGTTTATTATTGTATTGTGAATGGACAACACACGTTTATGAATTTTTTGAACATAGATTGAAAGAAGGAGATATAAGCATAAGTGAATGTATGGTTAATTATTCTTATTATTATTTTTATTAATATTACTACTACTACTACTACTACTACTACTACTACTACTGCTACTACTACTACTACTACTACTACTACACTACACTACACTACACTACTACTGCTACTGATACTGATACTGCTACTACTACTACTGTTACTGCTACTACTACTACTACTACTGTTACTGCTACTATTACTACTACTATCACCACCACCAACACCAACACTACTACTACTACTACTACTACTACTACTACTACTACTGCTACCACTACTACCACTACTACTATTACTACTACTACTACTACTTCTACTACTATTACTACTACTACTTCTACTACTACAACTACTACAACTACTACTACTATTACTACTATTACTACTACCACTACCACTACTACTACCACTACTACTACTATTACTATTATTATTATTATTGCAAAAGAGGGAAATGAAGAAATACAAAACGAATGAGTAAAAATGTGTATTACCATGCAGCGAGAATGAGTGAACAAGTAAGTTAATGAATAATTATATATGCACTTACTATTTGGTATGTGTATATGTATATATACAGATAACGCTACATGTGTATATACATATATACATGTGTGTATTTATAATAAAATTGTGACACTAATTAAGGCATACGTTATTTCATAAATAATGAAAAATACGTCAACAGTTTATTGCTCCTTTTATCGCTGTAAATAAAAAATGAAACATTGTATTATATCCTCTATTTCATTAAGTGTCAATTTTTATGGCAATATGAAATTATTACCATTCCCTAGAATGATAATAATACATTGTTCAAAGTAAACGATATAACTATTCCCGGAGATTACAGTTTCTATGCTACGATATTCTCAATACGAGGGATATATGTAAACGATATTTATGTAAATATTTTTAAGCCGTGTATTTGACAATTCGTAAAAGATATTATACAAAAGCCGAAAAGGCGCTAAACGTTACTGTTAATAATGAGAATATTCAAATTTATAAAACAACAAAATGCTGCAGCTCATCAGCGGCGATGCACCAGTCATCGTGCTGTAGCCAATCGGAAATAAATAAATTCGCACGCTCCAAAGTTACGTTATCGCTAGATTTAATTGTCCCCTTCTTCGAATGCAAAAAAAAACTCAACTGTCTGCTCTTCGTATATAAAATAGATCGAGTGTGTTTACGAGTGCGTCAGAATATTATGATGATCTACCATTTAGTATTCCTGCCGTAGAATATTCTGCTACACCGAATATATAAATACGAAATTAATAGCATAATAATGAATGAATTTTCCTAAGTTCTTGAGTTCCTACGTTAACGGTGAGCACTTGTTCTGGACCGTTATGAGGAATCGAGACTTCGGCGGCAAACAATTGATTTTCCTGCATCGCTGCAGCCATTTCGCGATTTGGAAACACCGCAAAGTTAGCTTCAGCCATTCCACCTGTCGTTCTCTTCACCACTTCCTCGCGGACTTCGCCCTATAAACAAGAATTGTATCGTCTGTATCAGGATTCTACCGGGGCAGCATGTAACGTAACTTACCATTAATTGATCTACACGATCCTTCAATTCTCTTGTAATCATTTGACGCTGTTGCAACTGATAAATTCGCGATGCTTTCTCCAACAACATCGGGCCTTCCGCGTCCAATGCTTTTTTCCGTCTCAAATCGGGAACAGTGAGGAACGTCATAGCTTGCTTAACGTCCTGCGTACCGAAAGGGATTTTCATTGGACGTGGGTAAATAAATGAAAATTACTAATACGCGGCAATCATAAATTTTGAAACTTACTTTAGTGAGAGAGCTGGTTTTCTTCATTAGTTCCTGTATCTTTGGATCAGTCGGTCCTGGTTTCGGAACGGGTGTTATCGAATCTAAATGTTCTAACTTCTCGCGCAACGCGTCGGACATTAACTTCTTCTTTTGCTGATTTTCACTGTTCAGCGCTTCCTTGAGTGCACTTATCTCTTGTATCAAGAATTTATTGTCCATCAATTGAATTCCAGACGTCATTGTGCTACTTCCAGACATATTATCCGACCCGGACGCGGACATCATAGTCTTCTTTCCAATAGATTTTAATTTTTCCTTGAGCTGACCTCTTTCCGTTTCCAAACTGTCGATATCCGTCTGAAGATGGTCCATCGTCTCTTCAAATTCTTTCTCCTTTCGTCTCAGTTGATTCTGAGCCTCCTCCAATTTCCTCTTCAACTTCTCTACGTTCAGTTCGTGCTCGTGCTGCTGCGTCGCGAGCTTCTTTTCCACGACATCTTTTCTTAAAATCATCTCGCACAATTCATTTTGTTTCTCCCTCAATGCCAATTTTGCTTCGCGTATATCGCTGTCTCTCGTCGCCAATTTTCCTTTGAGCACCTTGGTCTCTTCGGCTTCTTTTCTCGCTGTCTGCGCCCTTACTGTAATAGGCATCACGGATTCATTGTTTGCCCCTTGCTCTTGTTGCTGGGACAAGTGTCCACTTATAGCCAGTTCGTTCTCGCATTCGGCCATTTTTTGTGCCAAGTTGGCTGCCAATTGCTGAATAGCCGTTAAGCTTCCTTTGATCGTAGCTACAGGCCCTATGTCTTCTGCGTCGTATACTTTCTCGCACGCCACAGACGCCATCTCCTTTAGTTTGTCAGTACTGAGCCCATTATCCAAATCTGCATTCGATATAATCGCCTGTACGGCTGTTTTCAGCAATGCCTGGAACGTTTTCACAATCTTCACGGCATGCTGATAACAAGCGAACATCTGTTCGCTGGAATCTTTATCTAGCCCTAAGTTACACTGCGCGGAATGAAGCGTAGAAGCATGATCGGTCAGCACGCGTCTTCTGGCCGATTTCAGGTGTTGCTGTATCACTTCGCACGTCGTTTCCGCGTGCTGACAGAGGAGGCCTATGTCGCCGCCGTCTCCTTGAATTAACGCCTTAATGGCCGTGGCATCGGTGGTGATAGCGTCGCAACAACTCTCGAGCATTCTTGTACCGCTGACCACCATGCGTCCTTGGTTAATGGTTTCTCCGAATAAAACGGAGAACATGGTACAGAAGTAGCCACAACATTTCTCGATCGCCTCCATTGGCACATTTTCATCCAGCTGATCCCTTTTAGCCAATTCTATCAGAGAATCCAAAGACTTCTCTTGTGCGGCCATTTCCGGATAAGCCGCGCCAGCTTTAAGCAACATGCTGGGAGTACAAACGCTTAGAGCTGACTCAAAGCAACCGAGGAACGTTTGCAACGCGTACATGTACGAACAAAGATGCGATCTGAATGTATACTGCGCTACCGAATGACCCTTCAATATGGCCGTTCTGTCGATCTTGTCTAACGACCTGTACTTGTCCCGCAACTGCGATATAATTATCTCGGTCTTCTGTATTATCCTGGGTATAAGTAAAAGCGTTAGAATAGCGTCGTGGTCCCCGCCACGCGCTAAGAACGCCGGAGGCATGAAGGACAATAAATAGGCCACGTGATTTCGAGATTCGTCAGCCTCCAACCGCCGTAATTCGAGATCAACGGCTTTCGTCTGTGCGCGTGTTTCAGCAAACGTTTTCTGGAAGTCTAAAATTTCTGCCAACTGTTGTTCCGCGCCGCCTATTCCGGGCTTCGAGGTTTCCGTCGATTGGACACGTTGTTGCAACTGCAAGCACTGGTCTTGCAACTGATGAGTGAGATCCCGGAACTTCGTGATCGTCAGTTCACGATCCGCTAACGTCTCCAAAGCTGCATCGCGATGACGATAAGCGTCGCGAGCAGCTCCAAGTGCCAAGTCCAATTCTTCTCGCAATTCTAACTCCAATTCTTTCGACGATTCAGCAAGTTGATCGGACATATCCTGAAAGAGATGTCACCTTTAGCTTTTCGGCTCTTGGAATACTGTTAAAAAGCCATACCTGTAATGCTTCAAGATCTGCTACAGCTTCCTCCAATTCTGCGACTTTCTCTTCTAAAGCCATTTTCTTCTCGCCAAGCACTTCAACCATTTCTTCGGCACCTAGCGCGGCATCAACCTGTTCGACGATAGATATTTCATATCACGGTATCGATACGAATTAAGAAATCCCCTAACCTGTTCTTGCAAGTCTGCTATCTGGTGTTCCATTTCTTCTACTCGTACAGAGAGTTTCTCTTTTGTGCGTCCCAGTTCTAATATTTCCGACTTCTTTTGATCTAAATCCTTTTGAAGTTTCTGGAATTCGTGCTTCTCGTGAGCAGACAGATCACGCATTCTAACCAGAGTTTCCCGCAATCTGTTGTTCTGTTGTTCTAATTGTTTGATCTCGTAGCTTGTAGTTCCCGTGGTCGGACCACCTCCTGCAGCCTATAATCATTAGTGAAGATCAACGTGGATTTCCACAGCATGATCCGATACGTTTAAAGTAACAGTTGTATTTAAAACACTTTACTCTCTCGGACATTTCTGTTCGTAATATTTCCAAGTCTAATGTTTGTTCCTCTAATTTCTCCTTTAGTTGTTCTAATTCAATCTGTAACGTTTCAGCTTTCTCTTCGGCCATTTCTTTATCTAGTGTAGCCATTTCTACAGTCTCAGCGAGATCCGACATTTCTTCTTGAAATTGTTCTCGAGCCGCGTGTGCTTCCCTCGCTTCTTGGCGAGCTCGTTGGAGTTCCCTTTGAAGACTGGCCTTAGATTATACGAAAAAAAAAATGTTATTTCGTAAATGGTTAACGCGTACACGAAACTTGCAATAGAAATTAATATCTAGTTTTCATTACTTGGCTCTCCATAACTTTTGCTTTAAATTCAATGAGCTGTTCAAGTTGAAGCTTCGTTTTTTCAAAGTCTTTCATTCGTTCTTTGTCTTGTATTCTCTTCACCCGTAAGGTATCCATTTTTTCAGTGAGATCTCGAACCTTTAACAATACACGTTAGATTACTCGTTTAATAAGTCAATAAACTGGAAACCAATGAAACCCATTTTTTAAAAGCAGCTTACTTGAGATTTCAAATTTTCATTCTCTTGTTGAAGCTGCAAATGTGTCAGTTTCTCTTCCACCACACTTGCAGCCGCCGCAGAACCTGCCATTACTTGGCCAGGAACAAATTGTGGTTTCAGAGTCTCTACAAAACCTGTCTGAATTTCAAACAAACCACAAATGAGGATGTTAATTAACGTAAACCGGGTGTTTTTTTAATTATCGCATCGAAAGAAAGCATATTTTGCTGAAGAGCTTCTTCAAGTCCTTCCATATTGCTGGTATATCCTAAAATATTTCATTTCAACGGAACGCTTTATGAATGACGCAAATAAAGATAAAATTTTGTATCTGCGGTAATGAAAAAAACACCCTGTACTTCCTGTACAAAAATATTATGTTTTAGAAGAATGTTGTTTTTGTATGTACATTCAATAGAATTAGTCTATTTCAAAGTGATTAATGAGATTAATTGTAATAAACGACACCAACAAGCTACACCGAATACTCTATTAGTTCTAACAAGTGTAGGAAGATTCAGTCAATGAGTTGAATTGTGTTATATGATATTGAAATTTGCAATAGGTATAATACCAACTAAGTAAACTATCGTATCCTAACCATTTATATAAGTATTAACTGCATTTATACCAGGGATATCTAATTTCTGGTCAGTGATAAAAACAGAAGAGTTTCAAGTAGTAGTACACCTTTATACCGCAATGCTGTTAAGTGCATATTTGTAAAGAAGTTGTTATTATCACCTCTATAATATGACTGCAAGGGGAATTCAGCATCTAATTGTTAAAAAAAAAATAAAGAAGAGGCAACTATCTATCTGAATACCCCTTCCTCTTGAAAGTTTTAGGCTATCAAGCATCACAGAACTGAATTAACAAAGCAGATGCTTAACGCAACAGTGAATATGGTGGAGGATAAATTAATTCCATAATCCATTAAGAACAGGTAAACCCATCAAAGTGCAATGATGCTGCTAGTTGTTATGAAGTCATGTGTTACAATGCTTATGATCAACAAACAACTAATATGAGAGAGTTTAAGGTCAAATGAGAAAAATTTAGATATTACAATTAATGAGTATTAATTACATTATTGTGATCATCTTGGGCCTTTGGCTTTTTGCCGGGAGGCGAGCTCGTGCTAGGGGACTTCTGAAACACGTACGTGCATTCCCATATGAATCATTCTGTGCCAAAGGATTTGTCTAACATCTTCTCAAATTTTACAGTTTACTTTTTTTGTTACTTTACTAAATATTTCCAAGAATCTCTCTGGCAATGAAACACATGCACTGGGAGGTATTTGTTATAAGATTACCACGTCACAGATTAAGATTCTTTAAATGTATAATAACAAACTGTGAGTTACTTTGAATAGCCTGGAGATTCGAAGATAACAAAACCAATGACTTCCTGTTAATCGATTACAATAATTTTGGATGTGTACATATATTTTTTTATTTCACTGAGAACACTATATCGTATATTCATGCCTTGTTGATTCCTCAAAATAATCCATTGATTGTGTTTACATAAATAAATGGTACATCAACTTATCATATTTGCCACTGTGGAAATAATCATTTTTGAAACAGGAAGACAATACCTCGATAAATGAAGCTCTTTTGGTAGAGGTTGGTGCTGGTATAAGTGACTCTCCACCATCTTTGCGTTCATGTTGTGATCCAGATAAACTTTCTGTACTTGGAGCACTTAAAAGTGTTCTACTTCCAGCCAATGATAATCGTGAACTGCAAAAATAGTGTTTCCGTAAATTACTTGTAGAAGAAATTCAAACGACAACAATATCAACATAATACGATATAAGATTTCATAGTAGTGCCATTAGTGATATCTTCTTGCATCTAAATTACATGAATTTTAAAAGCTTGTATAACAAAAAGAAATTAAAAATACAACTTAGACATTACCACTAAATACATTGATTATACTTTTATCATTACTTAATATTGACTTTTTGTGAAAAATATATTTATATGCATGTGTATGTATGTTTATACACATGTTGTACCTTTAAGTATATTTATTGTAACATTGTCTCACAAATAAAAAATAACAAGCCAACTGCAACTCTCAAATATATTATTGTATCTCTTTATATACTGCTGCATTTAATTATGAATATGCATTTGCAACATATTTACAATATTTTAAATGTTAATAATTTATAATACAATAGTAAATCTACAATAGAGGAAGCTTATGACTGTGATGATGTACAAAATCATTGAAGTTTAGATAAGCAATCAAAATTTTGCTGTTTGCACACACAAAAGCATTTAAACAAAATGCTGAGACACACATCTCTCAATGATCGATTTACATAAAGTCTTACCCAGAAAGCTTGTCAGATTGCTGCCGGGTAACATGCGCAAGAGATGTTTTTCTCCGTACTCTTTTATGACCAGCGTATGAATTTTAAGAATCTATTAATTATACTTGCCTAATTAAACCTATTTCTTTTTTCAAATAATTATTGTTGATATAGGAGATATTAGAGTAATATTAAGCATGTCATTATTTCAAATTCAAATGTTACGGTAACATTTAATGAAATAAACACTTACGCAGTGGGTTCATTCCTTCGAGGTGTACTAACGATAGCATGAAATTTATGACAACAAAAGATTAATCATGATTACAGAAAATATGAAAATGATTTTTCTAATAAATATAATACATAACAATACATGTATTGTAAATTACAAAGACAGAACATACCTATTTAACCTACTTCTAGCTCTTGCAACACTAGCCTCATCCGGAGTTGTAGCACTGCTACCAGCTGATGATGGACTAACAGGTTCTGTTCTATTACCTGTTTCATCCAATAAAACAAGTTGAGACTGTCGTACAAACATTCCATGGTTTTCAGGGCACTAATATAGGAAACATGGGAAAAGTATCATATTATGTTTCAACTTTCCACATAGTGTAACCCTATTAAAATTGATATCCGTGAATCGCGGAACATACCTTAAAATATGATTGACCCTTAATAGTGCCGTTATTTTTTCCTTTTGGCTCATCGAGTATAACTCCAATCCATTTTCCCGAAGCAAAATTTGGATGACCAATATAAGCAATTACTCCTTGACAGTCCTTGCCAGGGACCTCAACCCGTTGTCCGATTTTGTACGACATTTCGACTGTAGTGAAGTGTTACAAACGATTTTCTATAAACACGTTCATTAGTTCATCTATCCTACGAACAGTTTCTTAAAATATTTCTTGAATGTTACACATTTCTTTCCTTTTACAGAAACGTTCTATATACTAGCAACTGAAACTACTGTCAGCATACGTTACAACATCGACTCGGAATCGACACTGAAAGCGCTGTCAGTTATACCAGTGGTATTCATAATTTCGTTTCGATCTAGGTTACAAAACAATGTTAATATCCTTACGTTTAAAGCAAGCAATTTCTATTAAATATACTTTTAAATTTCCTATAATATAGATTATTCGAAATTATAATTTCATTACTTAAATGTTTGTTTTCGATTGCTTTTAAATATATTGTTTTCTTATGGAGGTACACTGTTCTGTATATCATGCACTTTTCACATAAAATTCTAAACGTTAAGTGCGTTTCCAGTGAAAACAATACTTGACTCGTTTCATTGTATCATTTTTGTCTTAATTGTAGGATTCGTTAAATAATAATTATACATAGAAGGGAATGAGAAACTTGTATTAATGAAAGTCCAAACTAAGAACACAGACCGTGCGTGAAACGGTACCAGGGCCGTATTAAAGCATGGCTTTATATTTGTATTGCCTAATCCAACTGACTATGAATACATTCTATTCGAAGACTTGAATATTTTAACATCATTTGATCATTTTTTTTTTTGAAAGAAGTGATCTTTTAACTCATCTCTTAACGGTCACTTGAGAAATCTGATTTATACTGCGTTGCAATTAAGGACTGGGTAAAACGATATTCATCTACAGTTTTGAAGAGTGTATGTGTATGTAAGTACATGGATCAAAATAACATTTTCCGTCGAATTTTTCATAAAGTAATTTCATTTTTAGGTGCACATATCTGTTTATCCGATGTACCGTTCCAACGGTAAACACTGATTAATCCATGGATCGTTAATAGTTGTATTTAAAAAGAATTGCCACGAAACATTGTCATCGTTTGGTTAAGATGACGTTCTGGCACCGCTGACATCGAATGTGTTTTCTTTTTAGTTAACACCATACCCACTTGATACAGTAAATTGCAACAAAGTGGTAATGGCTAATCATTACGAGGTGCCTAATTGGTACGTTTGCTAAATTTTTGTTGGTACTTTTGAAGCAAAATTTAGGTGCATTAGTGTCATACAATAGTATGCATCAAAGTAGGATGTGTTTATCAAGTAGCATAGTCAACACAGGTTATGTTTTTCAGGGCAGGAAAACCACCAGTCGGGTTACATTTAGATGTATTAAAAAATGACAAATTAATCCAGGTATAATATTTTTATACTGTACCCAATAATTAAGGAAACATATCTGTAGAAACATGATACAAGAACTACTGTTTTGTTGCAGAAATTAATGGTGGATGAAAAAAAATGCTACCTATTTGGCCGTAATCAACAATTAAATGATTTTTGTATAGACCATGCTTCTTGTTCTCGTGTCCATGCAGCTCTTGTTTATCATAAACACCTGAATCGTGTATTTCTTGTCGATTTGGGTAGCAGTAAGTTTATTGTTATCAATGCGTAAAGAAGGCGTTTAAGATTCCAATTGATAATAATGACTTTATGTAAAATACTTAATGTAAGTATTAGGAAACGAAGGCATCAATATTATAAAAATATAATTGATTCTTTAGCACATGGAACCTTCATTGGTAATCTACGATTAGAACCTCACAAACCTACGCAGTTACCAATTGATAGTACATTTCATTTTGGAGCATCCACTCGATATTACATTATCAGAGAAAGACCTCAAACAGGTACAAGACCTATCATAGAAGAATTGGAAAAATTATCTGAAGATATCGATGCCGGTGGTTTATTGGGTTTGCCTGAAACAGAGACAGAGCTCGATGTACGTTTACAATCTATCCTGAAATTGTACGATTCGAGTGTGTAATGATCATACATTTTACAGAATTTAACAGAATTTAACACTGCGCATAACAGACGTATATCAATGTTGGGTATAACGGACGATGAAATTCATAAGCCGACGAGAAAACGAAAGAAAAAAGGGATTACCTTCAACGACGATGAAGAAGTAATAAATCCAGAAGATGTTGACCCGTCCGTCGGTAGATTTCGTAATCTTGTACAGACAACCGTCGTACCCAGTAAAGTACGAACGCTATGAAGTTTCGTAGAACGTAATCTCTCTATAGACATGTTTGCATTTCATTTAATATATATGCTATCGTTGACCATTTCAGAGAATGCGTATGGAAGGAGGATTAATTTCTTTATCGGAAGATCACAATCCGTTAAAACACCTTCAACCTACATCGACTGCGCCGCAGCTGTACCAGGATTTACCACCGGAACAGTTCACGCCCTCGTCACTGTCTCTCAATCCATTTTCAAGCGCTTTGTCTTCGTTGACTTCTCGACTTGGTATTGCCTTACCAAATCCTGCGCCTGAAGTAGAGATGACACCCTCCCAAATACAAACAGAAGCGCCTCACGTACCGGAAATGTCGGGGCCTACCGAAACGCGAACTTTGGAACCAAAAAAGAAAAAATATGCCAAAGAAGCATGGCCTGGGAAGAAACCCATACCAACGCTTTTGGTGTAATAGTCTCAGGAAATATATTTTTCTTACATTTCCCTCAGACAAAGGTAATAGAGATTAAGTTGTATAAGAATTTCTGTATAAATCATTCATAATAGTTTTAACAGATACGTTTAGTTAATGTTACATGATCACACGATTCGTACCTTGAATCTTTCAACTAACTTTCTTTTAAACATACAATCGACTTCATTTTTTAAAGACAAGTAATCGAACGCATTTTTTTTTATTTGACTCAGGATCTACCGTTTGAATCTGATCTTCATTTGCACGTAGTCTTTTCGCAAAGATCAAAAGTAAAATAACAGCTGTAAGATAAAGAGAACGCGAATAAAAGAAATTTTATCTCATTTTAACATTAAGAAAGTACGAAGAAACACGAGAAAGGTAATAAGAGAATTTTCTTTTGTGATACGACACGCACGTTGTTGCTTCGAATTATTTAATTTAACGTTGCCAATCTCACGCCGAGACTTCACGCCATCGGAGAGAACTTTGTTACGTTTAGCCAGAACGTACGCACTGCGACAATGATAACAATAATATCCTCGAAATGTATATTTCCTGAACTCGACCGTTATTATTCAGTTACGTTAGACGTTCGAGGAGAGTAGTGGATAATCGTTATTCGTGTATTTAGTGCAATGAACATAAGAATTTACTATTGACTTAAGTTTTAAGAAAGCTCTTTGGAACCCTGAATAAATAACGACTGTGAAAACAGGGTTGCACCTTCGTACGTTTCGAACTTTCTTCCGAGATCGACGGGTCCGTCGATTGCTCTAGAACGTTGAAAAAGAAAGAATGCAAACAAATGTTCACGTAGATAGCGCATAATTGAGAGACGCGTGAGACGGGGGTACATATTTTTTATTTCTATAATATAAACGACTGTACTGAAGATAAATAATTTTATTAAAAAATAAACACGTCATAAAACATATAAAACGAGCTATCAAAAGATACATATATACATCTATATATATATATATATATAGATAATAATATATGTTTCTCCACAGTAGAATTTATCGTATCGATTTCGATTCCCTTCGGGTAGCTGGGAGTTGCCGGTCACGTTTCAACGATCATAGCCGCGGATTCTCCGAGTTTCCTCAAAATTCTAACGACGCGTCCGGACTGCTCGACGACTCGAGGGCCACCTCCTCGTAGTCCCGCTCGAGAGCGGCGAGGTCGTCGCGAGCCTCCGCGAACTCGCCTTCCTCCATCCCCTCGCCGACGTACCAATGGACGAACGCTCGTTTGTTGTACATCAGATCGAACTTGTAGTTCAATTTCGCCCACGCCTCCTCGATGGCTGTGGTATTGGACAGCATCGAGACTGCTCTTTGCACCTAAACGATCGTTCAAATTCTGTATCCTCAGGGAGACTCGCGGATACGGGAGGGAGACGCGTGCGACTCAAAGAACAAAACTGTTCCCTTCCAGCGGCGAGTCGCGAATCGGCGAAATAAGACCGAAACAATTCTGTCCTTTGACCGTCGCGCCGATAACGGAATGTTTGCGCGTCGATAGATACCCTGGCGAGATCTCCACCGGGAACAACGGTGGGCGGCCTGTAATTGATACCGACTTTGAATCCGGTCGGGCACCAGTCAACGAACCGGATGCAGCTTTTCCCCTTCATCGCGGCGATCGCCGCGTTCACGTCCTTCGGGACGACGTCCCCGCGGTAGAGCAGGCAGCAGGCCATGTACTTGCCCTCGCGGGGGTCGCATTTCACCATCTGGTTCGACGCCTCGAAGCACTCGGAGGTGATCTCGGCCACCGACATCCCCTCGTGGAAGGCCTTGTCGGAGGACACCACCGGGGCGTAGGTCGCCAACGGGAAATGGATCCTAGGGTACGGCACCAAGTTCGTCTGGAACTCGGTCAAGTCCACGTTCAGGGCGCCGTCGAACCTCAAGGACGCGGTTATCGATGATACCACTTGACTGATAAGCCGATTCAGATTCGCGTAAGAAGGTCGCTCTATACCGAGTTTCCGCCGGCAGATATCGTAAATTGCTTCGTTATCAACCATGAACGCGCAATCCGAGTGCTCGATGGTGGTGTGCGTAGTCAAGATTGCATTGTACGGTTCCACGACCGCCGTCGACACCTGCATGGTACATTGTTTCGCTTTTAGGGCTGTCTTACCGTTACAATCGCCAATTCCCGTTAGTTTCGAGCGTGCAGCCCCTATTTAACACGTTGAGTGCGGCGCCGATTTTCCTGTACTTTCCGCTCAGGCAGCGCGCGAGCATTTGATGCCGAACGCTAAACTAGACTTTTTTTCACTGTTTCTTTTGTCGTTCGCACTGTGACAATGGTGCAGGCGATGCACGTGTGTACAATGTATAAACATAAGATAATGGGGTGGGGAATGCCAGGGAGACAAAAGTGCGAACACCGAGAAACGATCAGTCTGAGAAAGCCACGGGAGTACGCTGAATTTTAACATAAATTTTTTCATTGTCATTCATAATTTAACCCTTTAAAATGCCGGTCTCGTGCACCGATGTCGAGCAAACGAGAAGTTCGCTGTCAGTCCCTAGAATCCACGCCGCCCAAACGAAAAGTCTACTGTCAGTCCCCAAGGACTGACGTAGTACTCAACGTGTTAACACGTCAAGCGCCACGGAAATCTTAAGCGTTTTCCCGTAGAGTTTTTCTTTTGTAGCAAAGAAAAGCACGCTATTATCAACATAATTACGTTATTAAACATTTTCGTTTCACATCAGTTATCTTGTGTGTTACGATTGCTTTCTAGTCATTCAGAAGCGTCAGTCACCAATGGCTGACATGGCGCTTAACGTGTTAAGAGTGGTTCGTACTTGTGGCGCCGGATAGACCGCGAACTGCAACTTGCTCTTCCTTCCGTAATTGTCGGACAATTTCTGCATCAGCAGGGACGTGAATCCCGAGCCGGTACCACCCCCGAACGAGTGGAACACGAAGAACCCCTGGAGGCCGGTGCATTGGTCCGTCAGCCTTCGCACCCTGTCCATCACGGAGTCTATCACCTCGCGGCCGATCGAATAGTGGCCGCGAGCGTAATTGTTCGCCGCGTCTTCCTTGCCGGTGATCAGTTGCTCCGGATGGTACAACTGCTTGTACGGACCTATCCGTACCTCGTCTGAAAGGGAAACGCGGTTCGTTTCTTGCGTTAATTGAACGGAGGAAACCGAGTTTCTCTGCGCGACGATTAAACTGACCGACGACCGTGGGCTCGAGGTCGACCATTACCGCTCGAGGCACCATTTTGCCGGAGCTGGTCTCGTTGAAAAACGTGTTGAAACAGTCGTTGGTACCGGACACCTTGTCCGATGGCATCGTACCGTCCTGCTGGATCCCGTGCTCCAGGCAGTACAATTCCCAACACGCGTTGCCCATTTGAACGCCGGCTTGGCCCACGTGCATCGAGATACATTCACGCTGCAGCGTAAAACATGATGGAACTGACTGTGCATGCTGTTCCCATTTGTTGGGAAACCGATGCATTTATCGAATACATCCAAGAGTTAACTGATCGAACGACGCATGATTTCATCGAGCAAAGTACTCGAAACGGAAAAGATATAACGTTTAATCGTTTGAGTTGCATCGTTATTATTGCAAGTTCGAATGCCCTCGTGTTAGCTAATGTTATTTATAATGTAAGGTTGTTTAACACGTTCGTTATCAGCTTCACGTATTTGTGACTTCCTGTGTTTTACGTGATTCGAATGAAATTAACCCTCTACGGGCTGAATCATAACCAAATGAATCGATGATTATATGAAAACTTTTCTATATTATAAATAATGCTGCTGTAATACAATGACATTCGGCTAGATGAACGTGGAATAGCAATAATGCAATTCGATCAAATGAAATTAACCCTCTATGGGCCGAATTTTTGTTCATGACTATAACAAAATCTACGCAAAATTAATAAATATCCACATATGGATACGAATAATTTTTAAGTGAATCCTATAGATATTCTTATTAATTATTATCCTTTAATTTTAAGGATTTCTAATTTCCTAAATTTTTAATTTCCTTTAATTTCATTAATTATTATCCTTTCATTTTTAAGTTAATCCTATAGATATTGTTATTAATTAAACTGCGACGTTATATTTAAGAACCATTTCATTTTCCTAATATTTTTAGCTTCATTGGATCGAAGAACGCGTTAATCGAGTGAACTGCAGTAACTCGATTTGATGACCCCATAGCATCGAACGTCTCGAACGAGCAAATTCCTTTTTCATTTCAGAGCTTACGGAATACCTTGTCATTTGTCGGTCATCAGACGTGAAAAAAAAAGAGATGACACTTTGTGTCGTCCAAGGTGATAACGACTCGAGGAAGATTGCGGATTAATTATCGAGGCGAAGATGATGATGAACGATAATGACTATTATTAAACGTCCTACGGTAATGCCGGTTGAAATTCACGTGTCGGATCTGTCTTACCATTTTGAAAGTGTTTTGGCAGCGCTTCTCGTGGAATATATGTTATTGCAGATTTGCTTGGGTCGATCAACCGAAAGGGAATTGATGAAATATTTGATTTAATTACGGGAAATTTTGGCGGCCTCCGCTCCGCTACCCAGGGGAAAATGAATTGTCACGATTTATAACCGTTGCCTGGACAACACAGATTATGGAATGACAATGAACGTGAGAAAAATTGAACGCCGCCTCTGTAAAGTATGAAACTTTGCGCCTATGTGTTGCAATACCATGTAACATCGTTTCCTGCTTCTAATCTATACAGTGAGATATCAACTTTATATCGTACACGGTATCTGCGTGTTGTAATCTTCATACACGTCTCGCTGTGTAAAAAGCACGCCGGGCCATATTATTTAGCAAAAATACATTAAAATGATCGACGCTCAACAGGACACTCGAGTCGTGTGCTTGTACTTTTAATTAAACCCGATAAGAGTCGCTTCACGTTTCTTTCGAAAAAAAATGAAAAAATAAAT